GGAGCAACAGATCTTTACTATCTCCCCCACTGCTCCCCTCAGCCATGTATTTCAGCTAGTCCACCTGTTCTGCTCCCCACTCTCTCTCTGATGACTCCTCTCAGTCCTGCCCTGGCACCTCTGGCCTGCACCCCAGCTCTTGTATGCATAAATAAATAAAATAAATCTTTAAAAAAGGAGAGACTTATGTGGCTCAATACTGTGCAGCCCTAAATACAATTTGGAAATATATATTTTATGTGAAAAGTGCAAGCTGAATACTTGTATAATTTAGTAAGTTTTTGAAAACCATGTGCATGCATACAAATATGCTGCACATGCACTTCTGCCTATGCATGCATATGTGTATGTGCACATACGCATTTGTGTGCATGTGTACCTGAGTATGCATTTATGTGTGTACACACTCAAGCAATAGCCACTAGCAGGTAATCCTACAGGATGACCTGTGTGTAAAGAGAGGATGTCACTTGGAGAGGAACTTAATTTCTCTGTACTTTTAAAAATTGACTATATGCATGTATTAATTATTCAAAAGAATTTAGGGAGCTAATGGTCAATGAAACACATTAGGTGGGAAACCTGCAGGAAAAAAAAATTAGAAGCACTAGAATTTTCTCTTATCAGGATCATATACTGAAGGTCATCACTCTTGTTGATGACCCTGTATATTTTCTGCAAATAGCATTTGTCAAGGAATCATGCAGAGAATACTGGGAGCTAGTAATTTCTTGTAACATATGTAGTCTTAAAAATCAATTCCCTTAGTGTCCCTAGTAGGAGCAGTGAAGAAGTTTAAAACACAGTGCTCAGCTATGTCTAAGGCCTGCAGTTATCTTTATGGCAAAAGGTACTAATAATTGTTGGGAGAGATAAGGCCAATACCAGTGAAAAACTAGAGAAAAATAAAAGGTGTTCATTATAAGAAATCGTGGTTCTGGGGTGCTGAAATAATTTGAGATCTTAAGGAAAGATAGGACTCAGCTAGTCGAATTTGTAAAAGGTCATTCCAGATAGGAATGGAAAACAGAATGAGCAGAGGGTTGTAGCAAAAAATTAACATGGTGTTTATGGAAAGCAATGACAAAAAAGTTAGGAGTTCTGCAAACATTTTAGAATATTTAAAAACGTGTTTGAAACTCTACATTTAAGTAAAGCATACTCTCAGATGAAAAATCAAGGAGATTTGAGAAAATGGAGACTATTAAAATGGCAATTACAGCTACAACTACTGAAATTGAAAATATAAGTAAATAAAATGTTAGGCCACTGTCTAAAAAGAGGCTATAACATAAAAGCTTGAAAATGGCTCCTGGAATCAAACCAAGATTCGAACTCTGGCTCCAAACCTCATTGAGGCTTTGATCTTGGGCAAACAACTTAAATATTTTCAGTCCTTGGATCCTCAGCTGTTTAAGTGGAATGAATAGTATCCCCTGTATAAAGGTCATTGGGTGATTCAGTGACACAATACATGTGAAAAGGTATTAGTAATTAGCCTCCATCATTATTGCTAGTAGACTCTAGAGGGTTCTGGACCAGTTCAATTACTGGTCCCCACACTTACTCATTTTAGACATAGAACAATTTAATCTGTACCTATTTCTTTTCTTTAAACAGGAGATAATATTAGTGATCAACTGTGTTAGTTTTCTCTTGCCACATAACAAGTTACCAGAAATGTAGGGATTAGTTTAGAACAGCACCAACTTACTAGTTTACAGTTTCATAGTTTAGAAGTCTAGCTGGGCTTCACTAGGTTCTCTTACAAAGCTGAAATTCCTATTTTAATCTGGAAGCATTTTAGGTCAAGAAAATAAAGTTTTTGAAATGCAAAGTGACAAAAAAAATGTAACAGTAGCAAAAGTATAACTTGATCAAATCATCTGACTCTTCTTATGTTTAGTTTATTTATAAATATCATTCAATAGTTATAGAAATAATAAGAAATACTGGATTTAGTATTGTTTGATATTTAAACGTGAGCTAAAAAATTTCCAGAAAATTTAGCGAGGCTGGAGAAGGGAGTCAGTGGAGATACTGGGTTGTGAGAAATGTCATGACACATATTTGCACAAAAAACATACCAAAAATACATTATGAATTTTCGGACAAACTAGTTTTTGAGGAAATTTCTTTTGTAAACTTTACATAGTTATTGTTTTCTTACTCATCCTTACTGTCATTATCACAATCACCATGTGCCCATGTACCACAATAATCTATTGCTATGAGTTCAGTACTTATATAAATTCCAATTTAAAAATGAGAATAGTAAGGCCTGGAGAAATAATTGACTTGTCCAAATTAAAAGGGTTATAATGGAAAAGACAGTACTGTATTCTAATTCAGATATAGAATTCCTAATCCAAACACTGATCCAGTAATTTTTGAAAAGCAGCAAAGTTTTACAATCCTTTTTGTTTGTTTTGCTTATAGTTTTTTTTTGTTGTTATTTTCAAGCAATATTTCTCAAGTTGTTTTTCTTGAAGTACTAAAGCAACAATATGTTAACAGGTGTTGTGAGAAAACGTTTGTCATGGTGAAAAAAGTTAAGTTTGCAAAATGCTAGATTAAGCACTTACAGAAAATTTTTTTTTAAACACATGACCTTTCAAAGTTTTAAATATACTAACATTTAAATCAAGAGGCAAGTTTGATATGTGATGCATGGAAACCCACCTTCCAACCCCCTACAGAAACCTATTAGTATAGTGGTTATACATCATGGTTATACAAGTCTGCAGAAAATATTTTGGGAAATGCCATCTACAAATGATATGGAAGTTAATTTTCAGTATATATTTGGAGAAGGTATAAAAATGTAAGGAGGATCATGTGTGATTAGCTAAGGTCCCTTATGTGAAGTAAAATATTTTAATAGAATGTTAGTCTTTGCTTTTTCTTTTAATAAACTGAATCAATTTACTGTGGTCTTTTAACATTTCTTATAGTCTACTTCTGTATAGGTTACATATGAATTTAGTAAGAACAAAAGGAATCCTATAATATAAATTAGGTAGGCACCTGGGTTTCTTCAAAATGAATGGCTTATTTGTACTTGATTGTTATCTATGAGAAGGGTTAACTTTGCACAGAGAATTATGATTCTAATTCTACATGAAATTTAGATTGTACATGGGACATACGGAAGTGAAAAGTGAGGTGGTAAACTGGCAATGCATTTTACAAGTCATGTACCAGATAATACAGGGTGGCATTTAAGGTCACAATTATAAGTATTTGGAGTTGTCCATGGGATGTGAATATTTTTGGAATTTTTTGGTGTTTTTTTTTTCTGTTCTCCTAGAGTATAGAACACACAACATATACAGTTGCCGAAAACTATTTAACATCCTAATATACATATGAATATCATGATTTATCAGAAAACTGGGAACAAATAGGGAGTAAAACCAGAAATTAAACAAAACCTTGGACACACTCTTTTTTCCTAATATCTATGTATAGTGACACAGTTTGTGATTTAAAGTATTAGAGACTTACTACAGCCTTTTATAAATAAAACCTTAAAACTAATATTAAGCATCTCATTTCAAAAAGTTAAAAAGGGACTTTACATTGAACATGCCACAACAATCTTGAAGGCAAATTTTCAAAATGGAGTAACAATGATGTGTCAGGAATTAGGAATTTGATTGTTTAAAAGTTCTTTGCTTAAGCTCTGGGCCATGGCACCTTATTCTAACATCTGTGACTTTAAGCATCTCCTCCTTTCCCTTAGAATAGTTACTTGTGAATAATGTTCTTTTTGCACTCCCACCAAACAATGAAATCTGAACAAATCTTGTTTTGAAAGAATGTTGGCTTGTTATTGTTTGTTTGCCCATGATACAATACTTTAACTCCTCTGCAGCAGTATGAGGTATTACTTTTTCATCACTCTTCCATCCTTGATCTCACTTCAAATTCAGAAAAGAAAGTAGGAATTGAAGTTTAAAGGACTCTCGGAGGCAAAGGAAGATGAAGTTGCATGGCCAATTGTCCTGTTATCCTTTTCTTAGTGTATTCTCCTTTCAAATCCTTGCCTTCAAGAATGTTAGAATGTTGCCTTCAATTTCACTGTTTCTTCCTACCTCCTTCTCCAAGGGGGAGGGGGGAGAGAGAAAGCTGTAATTTCATTTTGATATCTGCAACTACCCGAATTGTACACACAAACACTAAGCAATCATTCTGACCTAAAATCTGAGGAGAAAGCAGTAAGTCTTGGGCTGCATTTTGGTCCATCCACTTTGACTGCAAAAACAATCCATGTATATTGTTTTTGGTGGGTAGCAGAGAAATTTGAACCGCCTTCGTGATGCTTCAAGAATTGTCTTTGCCTTCTATTTTCTTGCTTCAGTATAAACGAGCCCCATTACTAGTCATCTGAAACAGATGTTTAATGAGACCCACATCTCCTACTTGCTTCCCTAAGCCTTCACCTTTTGCCCCTGTGAACCCTCTCCCGAGCTCTAGAGCTATGTAAAATACAGACTGAATAACAGCACAGCCCTGACATAGCTGATCAGAGTCCCGCTGGCAGTAAGTCGCATTTACTGAGAATCCAGGACGATTAGCTTTGCAGGGTTCTGTCTCTGATGCAGCTCCCTGCCCCAAGAACCACTTTCCAAAATCTCGTAACTTATTTTCCTGGCTATCCTGAAAACCGGACTTTAGGGGGAATCCTTAGCTTGGTTAATTATTATGTCAGAGTGGAATTCAAGAGAATGCCAGCCCTCAGTGGTGTTCCTTCCCTTGACCCTGAGTCCCAAGCCTGTGTGGAGAAGGTACAGGTAATGCAGGAACTTCAGAGTGGTGGCAGGTGTCAGGGTGTGGCAGCAGTTGTCTCCCTTTTTTCTTCCAGCAGAAGGAGCCACAAGAGAGAGACAGAGAAACTGGGGGTGGGGTGGGGGGGGGGGGAAGAGAGAGGGGAGGAGGGAGGAAATAAGACTGAGGGCGGAGGGGGGCGGGCTGGCGCCCGGGGAGCGCGCCTGAGAGGCTCGGGCTCACTCGCACGCCGCCTCTGTTTGTACACAGTGAGCTCTCCACAGCCGGCTTGCTCCCCGCCTGCTCACGCTTCATTGTTCTCCAAGTCAGAAACCCCGCAGCCGCCGCGGAGAGAGCGGCCGGAGAAGAGCGCACCGTGTGCGGGTCCGCCCGCGCGGGTGCTGCTGACTCGGAGCCGCCGCGGAAGCCCGTGCCGCGCCCCGCCCCGCCCGCCGCGCCCCGGCCAGGACCCACCCGCAGCGGAGGCTGAGCCCGCCGAGGCTGCCCCAGCTAGCCCACCCTCTCGCGCCCCGGCGCAGGCAAAGGCGAGGAAAGATTGCTCCTGTCGGTCGCCACTCTTTTTCACCCTCTCCAAGATTTTGTTTAAGGAAGCGCTGCAGGAAGAAGACATCTTCTTGAATTCTCTGCTAGGGGCGAGGTCTGCCGCTGCCCTGCGGTGCCACCTCAGCGACACTGCTTCCCGCTACTACGACCCGCGACCATTCGGGGTCACGTCCTGAGGCCGGATCATGAAGCACTCGGTGGCCGCTTGGCTCATGGTCTGGCTCAGCCTGGGTATCCCCCAGTTCTGCAGAGGTGAGGCAAGGGGCCCGGGTTACTAGGTGCGGGACAGGCGGGAAGTCCCGTGGGAAACGCCGCAGCGCGAGGCTGGCCGCGGTTCCCCTGGCGCGCCAGGAATGGCTTGCGCCGCGGGCGGCGCGGAGGAGGCGGCGCACCTGGGAAAAGTGCTCGCAAAGTCGGCGCAGTGCGCTGGGCTGAGTTGGGAAGAGGGTGAGGCGTCCTGGGGTGAGGTCGGGGAACGACGGGGACAGAGGGGAGAGTGAGGGAACTGAGCTTTGGGGAACACACGTTCCGGGTCGCTCTCGGCGACCGCGTAACCGCGAGAACCCTCCCCGAGCGTGCCCGGCTAGGTGGGGGTGGAAGGGGGGGGCAGTGTTCAGGGGGCTTGGAGCTGGAGAAACCAGCCAGAGCTGGGCATCAGCCAGTTGAAAAGACGAGCTGGACGGCTGCCGGGAGGCTCGCCCCCAGGGTGCCGTGCTTTGGCGCCGGCGGGGGCTGAGCGGTTTGAACACCCGAACTCGGCACTGGGAGTTTTGACCGCGTCTAGGTGAGAAGGGGCTGACAAGACAGTTCTGTTTTCGCCGGCCTTCCCAAGCTGGACGCGCAGCAGCGATTACTGTAAAACCCCAGGAAATCTCATCTTCCGCCCCTTCACTGAGAGAGCCCCTTGAGTTTTGCACTGCACTCCCTCTGGGCACAGGCGTAACTCTTGGTACTAGATTCGTGCAGCGAGAGACAACCCTCGCGCCCCCTCCCAAGAGCAAAAAAAGTTGGGAGAGCTGATCTGGTCGTGCTTTCCATGACTTGCATGAAATAAACCAGTCTACAAAAATAAAACAGGAATCCTGGAGGCTCCTGCCGAGTTGTGTAGACGACTTCCAGTTCCTTTGCGAGGGGGTGGCTTGTTAAAACCAACCTAGTCTTGATCTCGCCTCTTCGAGGTTGGGGCTGAAGTTGGCGCCGCTAAAGGGCAGGGGGAACGGCAGGGGATCTTGGGAGGCCGCGCGAGGCGGACCCGCGCCCCTTCTTCCCTCGCGAATACTGGAGGCCCCCTTTAAGGGGTCCTCTGGTAATAAAACCATCCGCAGGCGGTTTCAAGTGGAGAGCTGAGTGCAATACAAGGTTTATAATGCTGTGCCTTTAAAAGGGATAGTTACATTAAAAATGTATTGACGCGAATCCATTTGAGATCAGAAACTGTAGGAATAGTCTGCATCATCCATCCGTAGTCAATTGTGTACTGTTCGGCTGCTGTTTGTGCAAGAAGCCGGGCATTTCTGGCCATATGCCCTCATTGCTCTGCCTGGAGCGATCCATGGCCGCACCTTTCCTTGGTTTCCCTCCCTCCCCCAGAATGTGACTATTTTCCCCAATGTGTAGGCGTTTGTGTGGGTGAGCGCCTCGCCAGCCTTTACTAAGTGTCCTTTCAGTTATCCGGCAGAGGCAGCCACTTCAGTGAAGGTTAAGGAATGGTAGCCGCTCTGAATTTGCTCGGCTGAGTGTACCCCAGCAATGCGAACTAGCCCGTGCACCCATCATGGCTATTTTTCCATCCTTTCTTCTTCTTCTTCTCCCCCCCCCCCCCCCCCAGTATGGATTTCGTCTGCACTTTAATTTCTTAGCAGGAATAGGAAGGGGAAAGCTGCAGGCACTCCCCTCTTTTCTTGCTTTCTCCGCCTCCGTTTCCACCCCAAACACGAAAACACACACTCATCCACTCACACGCACCTATACCCTGTATGATGCCATCACTGCCACCCTGTGTCCTGGCGCCAAGGGGGAGGGCGGCCATGGTAAGAGGGAGATACTGCTTCTAGTTTGTGTCACCGCGTTTATGGGAGCCCGGGGGCATGGTGAGTTGCAGCTCTCTGCAGCCAGAATCTCTGGTAAAGATACCCACGCCCAGGGGCATAGCTCACTTTGCCAGACAGACAAACCAACCTCTCAGCTGTTGACTGGGCTCTCCATTTGGCTCCTAGACAGTGCTCCAGCAGCTGCGCACTCCATATTCTTCAGCAGATTTCTGCTTTTCTTTTCTTTTCTTTTTTCAGCTAGCTTGCACGAGTGACAAAGGGTGCATTAGAAAAGAAATGGACCATTTTCCGTTATCTCTTTTTGTTACACTAGCCCCATTCTAATTTATTCCCCTTGGGTCCTGCAGAAGGCAGAGTGCATCTTGTGCGACAGCTCCAAACAATTAAACTTTTAGCAAACTTATTGAAACGAGTGTCACCACTGAGAATTTCCCAGGCACCTCCCCTCTCCGACATCATTTATCCAATGTATGCCTTTTAGAAATTGGTGTTTCCCTATGTGGGTTCCTATTTACATGCATTAATGCCTGGAATTAGATAAGGATCTGTAATTCTGCTCATTAGTAGTTTTTATTTTAAAATTAAACCAATGGATCAGTCAGATTGAATATTTTATTAACTCTTAAATTATTCATCATTATGGGTTGCTCTAAAAAATCCAATAACATGCATGCAGTTGCAGCAAGCACGTGATATCTTATGCAATCTGTCCCTGTGCCTGCAGTTTGTGCCTGAAGTCTTTAAGCAAATGGCACTGTCTAAAAATGTCTAGACATGTCCCAAATACTATGAATCATTGGCATTTGCATTTACTTTTTTAATCAGTGGCCTGTTTTAGTTAATTCTACATGAGTATAAATTATTACCTGAATCATCACTCCAGATAACAACACTGTACTTCTATGATTAGTATAGCAATATTTATACTGAAATGCAATTTTTGAATTTTTAAAAGTTACTACCTATTAGTGTCATTACCTAATATTTACATGCACATTAATTTTATACTTTAAAAATAAATGATAACTTCATGTTCTAGAGGAAAGTTTTTAAAAATAATTTTGCAAAAGGTGAAGATAAAGTACCTTGCTATGATAGTTTGGCACTAGTGCCAAGTATCAGCCATAGCATACACTGTCATGGTACTTACAAGTTTGTAAAATTTTGCTGGTATTTTTGAAATGTTTCTTTAGAATTGGAATGTATTTTGGTTTAAATTTACATGGTTTGGGAAAAGACTATAATAAAAATTAATGGTTAAAAAACTGAAATGGTCTATTCTTTCTATGATCCTGAAGTTCCAAAGTCCTTCATAACTAGAGAAATGAATTTCAGTTCTGATTTTTCTCTAACTTAAAGCATTATGTTTTCCTCAAATATCTTAATAATAGTTTTTATGATGCCACGTATTCAGGATCTAGAATATTTTGATAAATATTTTAATAAGTTTGCTTTTATCATTAGATAGCATATGATATTTCTTTCTCATATAGTTCTTGCAACATAAAATAAAGAAATAACACATACATAACTAAAAAAATATAGGTTGGCTAGTCAGAACATTTATGAAATATAAGTTTAACACTTCTGGTAGGCTCGCAGTCCAAACTCTTAATTTCACAGATGTTAAGATGATTTTTTTGAAAATGTAATAAATTATTTCTGAAATGTTTCAACTGCTGAAGTGGCTTGATTAGTGGAATGGACTGTTTGTTATCATTGCTGTACAATGTACCAAAAAAGCACTACTGGATTTGCACATCTTCTAAAGCTTAAGAAAGTAATTCTGATATGTGTTGTTTACTCAACACACTTGCAGGTGCAGTAGCTTTGAATACGATTTATGATGCAGTAAGCTCATTATATCTTCGTCAACAAACAAAACACACACACAAACAACACACACACACAGAGCCCAAACAGAGTACAGTTCATGGCAGATTAACTAAAAATAAGTAGGTACTTATTTTAGGTATAGTGGGCATAAGTAGAAATCAATGACAAATTTTGCAAATAAGTAACTAATAGTATGGCTTCTGTTATAGCTAGCCAATTTATTCTTAATATAGTAGAGCTTCTTTCCCATGTCATTTGCAATCTGATATTATTTTTAAAGATGTAGCAAGCCAAAGTCAGACTATTCATTTTTTCAACATCAATCTGTTTTAGAGAAGATTTTGAGCATTTTTTTAAGTCATAGACCATGTAATGATTTTGACATCTTCAGATGAATCATATCCAATATGTACTTACATAGCAGAGTCTAAAGATTGCCTATTTGAAAGTGGAGTAAATAAAAAAAAATGGGTACTATCAATTTCATGATTTACTACTTAATTCTCAGTGAAAAAGTCTTTGAGGCATTGAGTGAAAGTTAGACTGGAATCAACGGTGCCCTTGCCAGCAGGTGTCAGGATAATCAATGGAGACCGTTTAAAGGAAGGATGGAAAAAGTAAAAGAAGTAAACTAGTAAATGCTGATCTTCAAATCTACATAAAGTAACTTTCTACTCTGTATGAAACTAATGTTATTAGTTAGTTTTCATTGCTCTCCTGAGGAGAGTGAGTTTTAAGGACTTACTGCTTGTGCCAAAAGATTGTTAACTTGAAAATAGAATTGCTCTGACTGCCACAGACAAACAAGTACAGGTCTAAGTAGAAGCATTATTTTTTACGGTTCTCCACAGAACCATCCCATGCATGAAGCTATGGGATGTTTGCAGTCAAACAATTATTGTGGAAATGCCTAGCATACTTTAAAACTTATTCCATAACAGCTTTTTTAAAAATAATTTTTATAAATACAAGTTCCATTTTATTGATTTAATGGATTCATGGATACATTCAATTATATGTTTGAATGGACTATCATACGGTAAGAGATGTGCGTTTATCCTTTTCTGTCAGTAGGATAAAGTGTATGTTTCTGGAGCTTTCATGTTTCTAAGCAACATAAATCATGTGTGGCCAAAAAAAGACTGAATGAAAAATTGTCATTACCTATTTCAGCCAGTTATTAATATATGTTCCAGTTTGTGCACCAGTGGCAGTCAGTGACTTCATATTATTTATTTGTTATTTTTTTTTAAAGATTTATTTATTTGTGCATACAGAACTGGGGTTACAGGCCAGAGGCTCACGGGCGGCGAGAGGCTTCACCAGAGACAGAGTGGGGAGCAGAACAGGCAGATCGACGAAGTA